GAAATACTTAAATCTGTAAGGCCACTGGATGATACGAATTGTGAAATCACACTCTGGAGTTATCAAAAGAGCAGGCATATGACTTGAATGGAGTATGAGCATACATGTGTTGGTGCTTCTAGGATCTTACAACAATAGGACAACATTTGAGTTTGCTAATCAGTGAAGAACTAAGAACTGTCATTCTAAACTCTAGGCAACATAAACAGATATAAATGGGGGATTAGTTCTGATTCTGAACAGTGAAGGAAATTAAGGTCTCTAAAATAAATAGTGTCGCCTCAGGTAGTGGAATTTCATCAGTAGCACTAATTTAGGCCACTTAGGTCTAGGCTATAAACTACAACATGATACATTGCACATTGTAATTTAGAAAATGAATCCATGTACTCCAGCCAAGCACACATGTTCAAGACAGGCATCTAAATTAGCTGGAGGGACATATTACACAGGCCACGTTTGATCTGTCACGCCAAATTTCAGTGAAATTACGTGGGGTTTGTGTTTGGTTGCGGGTTTTTTTATTTACAAAGTTTCATACTCTACTTATTTAGCCGTCACTGAAAGTTACTCTACAGTACTCGAGGCATGTCAGCGAGTGCAATTTTTCACTTTAATTGTAATGGCTTCAACACTACTTCGGCTCCTCTTCCCTGGCTGCAAGGTGCGTTGGTTACAGCGCCACAGCGGCTGTACCGCGCGCCGCTGTCGCCCTCTGGCGGCAGTCCGGGGGTGGCGCGGGGCTGGCGTCGGGAAAGGGAATATCTCAATCCTATGGTCCTCGCGACAGGATGCCTAACTCCACGGTCCGTGACAGAACAGCCACGTGAAAAAAAAACCCCCACCTTGACAAGTACCGTGCGAGGTGGCATTGCTACAGGTTCGAAAGAGATTACGGGATAAACAAACCCACAGAAACTCCTCATGCGGATTTACTGCGAGTAAAGTATTACCGTGTGTGAACACCTACTAACCATAAATGCATATACCACTTAAACCTGGTTCGTTCTCTAAAGATATTGAAAACAACCGTTTATAAAGCACCTTATGTCCACTTCATTATGTCTGAAAGGCAGAACCTAGAAAGATGAAGACTTTCTCGGAATGTAAATAAAATCTATCAGCTTTGAAATAGTACATGGATTGCAGATGCAGGGAGAAATGCTGGCTCAAATGAACTGGAAATATAAGCAAAGCAGAGGGTAGAAACTAAAAAGGAGAAAATGGAGGATGTAGCGGTAATAATGTGAGGAGAAAAGAATGAATAAAAAGACATTATTTCTCAAAGATATTTTGCTTCATCACCTACATGGATTAAGGGCATATAAATTATTGGAGGTCAGATGGTATGTAGAAACTCATCAAATCTCTGTAAAATTGTTTCAGCTTGCTGGCTCCCATCATACAGCATGGGAGAAACTTCATAGCACACTGCATATTTTCTTCAAAGCAACTGGGACAGATTCTGGAATGAAATGGCTGGATGAGTGGAATCTAGCTAACTGGAACTGTATGGTCACTGTAATACCTTAGCATAGCTTCATGTTCTGACCTCTCCACCGTTCTGCCATCTGATTCCCTATCTTTTCCCTGTGTCATGTCCCAATTACCCCCACTTCTACATTCATCCTTTCATTGTCTTTGGGAAATGCATAGATCTTTTTTTTCTTATTCTTGCATTGGTTGTTCTGCAGATATGGGAGATACATGAATGAAAAGAAGTGAATGAAGGAGAAGGGCACAAAAGAAACTTCTTGTGATGTTGATGAAGATTATATCACACTGCAGTTTGGACTTCTTATGGGAAAAAATAGTTCAGTGCACTGTAGACCTAAACAAAAACAAGGCAGGAAGACAGCTGGATAACTGGTATGGCAGCCAAACCAAGTACACACACGAAGAACAGCGTGCACTCTCAGATCAAGCTTCTGATTATAATCCACTCCCTTTTCATACAGTTTACAATGTTCCAGTCTTCATTCTCATTGCACTAAGCAACAAGCCAGACAGGTAAATCACTTTGTAATGCTTTCTTAGTCAATTGAAACAGAGGTACTGTTGAGACGCTAGCACAAGAAATCCTTTTCTGTTTCAACAGTGACTTAAGAGATCCCTCACTGGATCACATTTAATTACTGTCACTACAAAATGTACTACAGGAGCACAAGAAGTTTGTTTAGTGCAATGTAAGCAGCGGGTGGGAGAGGATGGAGGAGTACCTGTTAGTCCTGTCCTAGCTACAGCAGGTCTGGGAGAAGTCTGCACAAGCTGGGAGCAACTGAGCACTCTCAGTGAGGAGACCCTGTTAGTTTGCAGTAGAGCTTAGCAAGCAGGAGGCTTTTAAGAACTGGGAAAGAGCCACACGGCCAAGTTTCTGCTGGGACAGAAACGATGATTTTTACTAGACTTCCAGGGTGGATTTTGTAGTTGTTGAATCCAGACAGCCAGGGACAAGTTGCTGGACCAAGAGGAAGCCTGGAGGAAATGACACATGGACCACAAGATAATCTGCATACAAATTAATCTATTCTTTCTTATCTTTTATATCTATTGTCTCATTCAGAATATTCTGTTTTAGAAGGTTCATCATTCTAGTTTATAATCTAGAAAATTTTACAATGCTTACAAAGCCTTTTTAGTATTCTTGGTGGGAGTGTTTAAAGAAACATCATGGACAAATCCTTTCCCTTAACCCCTGTAAGGCTGTAATCATAGTCCCACCACGAGGTTTAGGGCTGCAGTCACAGCTGGGCAGAGGACACTGCCTCAGAAACAGCTCTGTCCCCAGCACCTTTGTTAGGCTTGATGCCGAGAAAAAGCTCTCCTTAAAGAAACAGTGCAACCAATAATGTAGATCCTTACAAACACTGGAGTTATCTGACTTGCCCTTCTGCTTCTGAAGAACTAGTTTGATTCTCTTTTACATGAAAGCTCTAGATGTTTTAGTTAAATACACTTACTTCAGCTCTGTCTCTGCTTTGAGGTACATCACATGATCTAGCAATTAAGTAAGTGTTAATACTGGCAGCCCATGGGAACTTATGACTAGGAATGGAAGATTAGATATTTTTACTACCTTACTCATAACAGTTATACAAGAGGAGGTACAGAGGTTTCTGCACTCACCTGCATTGCTAGCCAGCAGACACTAGCCAGTGTCAGTGTAGAAGGAGGATAACCATGGCATTCATGGAGTGTTCATCCCACTGCTAAATCCTGACCCTCCTACACCAAGTGTGCCTAAAGCAACTCAGCTTTCTGAGGTCATGTAAACTGCTGTGCTAAGGCAATTACTTTGGTACAAGTGGAATGGCCTGGGAGCAGTTTGAACCATGGGCTTCTCACTTACCTACAATGGCAAGTTCCAGCTGGTCCAAGTATTTAACCTACTGCTCTGCTCCTGTGCAGTGCAACTCACATGTACCAACTTGACTCCTGGTGCACAGACAATGCCTGGAGAAAAAGGTCAAAGTGATGAACTACAATGGGTAGAGAACAAATTGGAACTGAAACTGGAAGAAAACAATGCACCAAATGAATTCTGTGTACAAGACTATGGAGTCTATAGGTTTCCCAACAGAACTGCACTTGTCTGATGTATGTAGTTATTTCATTGCAAGTCTTCAGTGCTTATACATTTTATATGACAAGACTCTATGTAAGTATTTTCTGATGGACATTCCTGTTCTATGAGCATTTTTCAAGTCAGGCTTAATAGATCCTACATTAAAAGAGCCATGAAAGCATTTAAGCACCAGAAAGGAGATTTGGATAAAATGTCAGAATAAAAAAATCTGACTTTTACGTACACTCTCACACTGGTATTTAGAATGCTTACATTTTCAGCAGTAAAGCTTAACATCTTTGTGGAGTTAGTCCAAAGTTCTCCAGGCATATAAAATAAAGGTTTTCTGAAATCACACATGTGATTCACAGTGCACAGGCAAAGGCAGCTTAGTCCAAACGATCATTCATAATTCTGCCCTTGCTCTTTGTTGTAGCATCTGAGCCCCTCACAGCTATTTCAGCTACTTAATTCCACACCGCCTCTCACAAACAGCAGTGTAACTATCCTCAGTAGGTTTAGTAATATAAAGAAAACACGATACATTAAAAAAAAAGATTTACAACATCAAAGGAGATAGAGAAGAGTTTCAAAACCATGCTATCTGTTTCACAGGCAGAAACCAACTACCACTTTTGCTATTTTCCTTTCCTTTATAAAAATCCCCACATGATAAAAGATTTGCCCAAGATCAGAGAGGTGCCTTGGAGAAGGACAAGAACTGTATCACTGTTTCATGTTAGTCTTAGAAAACCCCACCAAAGCCCAACAAAAAACCCCTCAAGATCAACTGGAGGGTAAGCACAGCATTATCTCCACAAGCAACTGGTTTTTTTCAATGAAAGTAATTTGTTCTGGGTTTTTTTTGGTAAAAATTTAATATGTATTTCTGGATCTCTGATCTGATCTCACATTCATTTTGCAATACTGTAATTATATGCACTTTGATGGAGTTATATCTAGCCTGCATAACCTAAAATAAATCCAGTTAAAACAAACCCAGTGTCTATTTCCTCTTTATAGCTATAGACCTATCTTTTAATTGATGATTAATACAATCATGCTTGACAAGCAATCACTCTTTGACAAGCATTATGCTTTCTTTAGTACAAAAATGGAATTCAAAAAGAATAATGGGGTAACAGACTGAATTTGAATCTTGTCTACACTGTAACCATTATGAGTTATACACCCACACAGTCTGTTCTGTCCTGTTGCAATTCTGACAACTACATACAACCAAACTACAATTTAAAAGCCTTTATCAAAGTAAAAGGTAATGTTTATTAACATGAATGAGGCATACATAATAAAAATATAAGCAGCTTAATAACATATAATCAAAATAATCAGTACAGAAAATATATTTTCATGGTGTACACTAAAGGCTTTCATTCTCAGGTGAAGAGCAGTTTCCTTCAGATTTCCATAAAAATCAAAGTTGGATTCTTTCAGGGATGATTTCCTCACCCAGAGCCTTTGCTGACTGTTTCTTTCTTTTCCTCTTCATTTTTATTAATCTTCTCTCGTCTTTCTTCTTATTGAATCCTAAAGGTAAAATGAAGTAAGATTAGAGCCTATCAAAGATTATCAGAAATAAGAGACAAGTCTTGTTTCAATAAATCTTTTTACAAAAAAGATAAAAGAACATTGTCTTACCTACGGTCTTCATCTGCCTGACCAATTCCAAGTTGTCTTATTGCTGTTCTTGTACACTGTACTTTACTGTCCACCTTTGTCTCTCTAGCTCTGTCTCTCTTCTGATTTCCATTTTCCCTTTTCTAAGACTCTCAACTATTACATTTTTTTCAGGTCAATACTTACTACCAAAAGTGGCAAGAATGTTTCAACCTGCATAATATCTACCTCATGTGATAGTCTGGGGCTGTGTAACTTCTCATACCTTTCTTGCAGATCCTCAAACATGACTTTCTGGAGGTGAAATTATTTTCATTCCCACCACAACCACTGTAGCGAAATGGGTGACATCTTTCAGTTGAGAAGTTGTAGAAAAATCTTAATTCTTTGGCTCTACAAAGTCCTCTGTCCATAGGGGTCATACAAAAAGAAGGGATAGGAGGTGGTTCTAGAAATACCAAGAAAAACAAGATTAGAGACAACACACCATGTCAGTTTTATGTTATGTCAATATTATTTGAAGTTTATGTGAAATTTACTGGCAAATTTAATTCTGCCCTCCTGAAAATCCAGGATACTTTACATAAGGATTTTTGTTTTTAGATTACAAAAATTACCACAGTAAATCTTATTCTGTCTTTGAATTTCCAGCAAAAGCTCACCTGAAAGCTTTACCTTTATAGTCAGTGATAAAATTGCCATTTCTGTTATAGGAGATAGCATTCACATTCAGTTAGAGGAGTTTCAAATCAAGTATTTGTAGAAAGTGAAATAAATTACACTTGGACAGCTTTAAAAATGTGGCAAATATTTCTGAGTGAGTGAATTACTGCTAGACATTCTGAGATCAAGTAGAAGGTAGAAGTACCAAGCACTTCCAATGTCAGATTCAAAACCTTAATGTTGGGTTTGTTGTCTGAATACAGAAAACTTGACCTAAGCAACAGAAGCTGATCTACTGGAAAACATAGAGCAGTTATTAAAAAAATAGCTTATACTTTGCAGAATAAAACAGGATTGAATGTGAGGAATAAGTGTGCAGAGTAATGGAGATACTGTGCATTAGTGCTGCTATTAGGATTTTACCATTCCGAGGAGGAGGCTGGTGGTTTGTTTCCTTAGGGTCGCTGCAAGTGACAGCATAAGAACTGAAACACTGGAAGATGAATCTGAGGTATCCAAAGTACCTGGGCACTGGAACAAGTTCAAGAAGAAAATCCATGCCAGAATTCCCAAACCTGGAGTAAATCCATCATCTATCACCCTAGAAATTTTGACTCATACAGGAAGTTAGGACTGATGCAATTGCTGCACAAGATGCAAGAAGCTGAGTGGGAATCATTATATCATCATTATGCAGGACTAAAAGGAGTGCCATTTCCCTTCAAGAAGTAGCAGAATTAGGGTAGCTGAGATTTGAATGCATAATGGAAATGTGAAGCTGGTCAGATGGCCCTCTTGAAGATACAAAACCAGGTAGATGTGATTCAGTGAAAAAACAAAGCAAAATTTTAGGAAACTATTTGGGTTACAACAAAGCTGAAGATATCCTGTGGCCACAAAAGTGGGAAGCAGATGAATTGCTGAAAGCAAGAAGTTACGAATTAACTTGGACAAGTCAAGAGGCTGACAAGAAAATATCCAAAAACATGTGCTACACCTTATGTGTCTTACACCTACTACACCTGCTAAAAAGGTTCGTCTGACAAGTCTAACAGCTGAACTGGCATGGTAAAAAAACATGAAAAATTACTGGGGAAGAAATAGAAGGGTGACTTATGGAAAGCTAAGACAGTAAAATTAAATTAATAACATTTGAAGCTCTGTTAACAACTTCATACTATTCAAACAGAATCCTGAAATTCAAAAACTGTGCAACAAGTTGGTTTGTCAAGACAGACTAAGTTAGTTTAAGTTATAAAATGAGCACTACTTACTTTTTTTTTTTTTTTTTACAACTGTGGCATTATTGCAAGACTAAGTTTCACTCTGGATCCAGAGTATAAGTCCACAACATGATACAATTTATACTAAATCTACTGTTTTATTTATAATGAAGATGGTAGTTAAATTCACTAAGGCAATGCTTTTGGTACTGCTCTAACTGAAAAGTCTGGAGCCTAGAACTAATTTAATCTGTCTCTAGCTGGAAAGGATGTTAGTTTTCAAAGTGTATGTTCAGCAACATTAAAAAAATGCTTACAAATTTTGTTAATTTCTGAACCTAAGAAGAACAAAGCAGAAAGGCTTGCCAGTGAGGGAAGGGCCAAACAGCATAGGATTGTTAATTCGATAAGAGAATTTAAATATATGCTTTGCAATGCAAATTACTTATCTGTTATGTAGAACTCTCCAGTCCACAGTCCCCTCATGAAGGAGTTCTCACAATGACTGCAAGTTTTGGGGAACCATGGAGCCAGCAAGGTGGTTACTGGTAAATAAGGACTACCTATGTATGGATAATGCAAGCGGCAGAGGCATCTAGAGGCTGTTCAGAATCCTGTTTGTACTCTTCCAAAAATCATGTTCATCTTTGTCCACACTATTGCTGGATAAATGCCCCAGATACCAAACACTGTTCCTGTTTATCTTCAAAATATCTGCATACTCTTCACTCTCATAAAAACAACCAGCCCATGAAAGAAACCTCTTAGTTTTGCTATATAGAGCTATTTGTTCCAACAAAACAGTATATTAAAATAAAAATTAAATTACTTATAATAATTTCCTGTCTGCTGAAGATCATAAAAATTATAAATTGATTTTAATATACTGATCACCAAAAGACCTGTTAACTGCAAGTTACTGTAAACATAAAGCATGTACTGTGTCATGCCCAGGTCAACATCTCTATTGACAGGGAAGTCTGTTAGGTCTGTGAGCCACTATGTCTACACAGTCACTGGAGCACTAGATTCAGCTAACTTTTCTCTGTTCAGCTCCAGTTTCCAACACTGTAATTCTGCATGTGATGTAACAGTAAGTTGAGATATTATAACTATTCTTGAGTTTCTCTCTCGAATGTTTTGACTTTACGACCTCATTTTTTTTCTGAGAGTTGTTGGAAAGTTCTCTCTCCTGCTTTTATTATGGAGAAAATAAACAAATGAAAGAAGCAAGTCCCCCAACCCACAAAACTACACCAAAAGGAAGGGGTGCACACTGAAAAGAGCAAAAAAGCCCCAAATATGTGTCCTACTGTCATATTGTTTTCCCCAGTTCAATCATTACAGGTCTATGAATTACAGATGCCAACTTACTTATTATTTTTGTAATTTAAATTACATTTTAGCTTTTTTTTGTCACAGTGCAAGTAGCATTAGTCATTACATTAGATAACACATTATACATTAACATAAAGTGGATCATATGAACCCAAAAATTAATAAATGTCATTAAATGCTTTCTAAATTTTTTATACCTACAGCTACATGGCCCATCCTATGGTCTTTGATGCAATTTCTGCAGAAATTGACTGGTTATTTACATTGACAGCAACAGGCCTTTAGACTCTGTCTTCACCCTTGTCTATTTGGATATATTTGGATATATTTGGATATATATTTATTTGGACAAACCTATTCTATTTTCACTATCCAACAGCAAGCTCATAAACATGGATTTGATATATATATATTATTTGCCAAAAACATGACATTGTTCAGGTCATGAACAGGCACAGGAAAAGAGAATTTACAACTCATATAGGCAAAGAAAAATGAAAACTTCCAAGCTGAGTTAGTTACTTTCAGGTGTAAAGTTTTCTTCTGGAAAATGTCAATACAATGAAGTACAAAGTGTTTCTGAGAAACTTACCAATTCCATCAAAAACTTTTGAAGGAAATTAGACCTTGGGAGCCATCTCACATGGACTTTGGGAACTGGAACTCCTGCCACTAGCTCTGAAAGAGCTTCTCAATTGGATTTCAGGCTTTACAACACCAAATTACAATGTAGATCTTTTTATTATCTTATATTTCTGTTACTCTATTTTCTTGATGATGTGGATATTTTGACTGATTTTGTTTTGGTGAGAGAATAAAACCCTAAACTGCAATATTTGATTTTTTTTCCCCTGAAAGAAAATAGGTAAACTAATTAAAAGAAATAAGTAGTAAACAAAGCTATAGTTCTTACCTATAGAAAGACTACTGTATCTAACCCTTCACTGCTACCTAAACAGTCTTTCAGTGTGTATGGTTTAAGACTTAATTCTTATAATAACAGCCTTTTCTTGAATCCCAGGCACTTCCTCTGTAGCGCGAATGGATGACACGATCATACTTCAGAATCTCTGAAACATGCATGTTCACGTGTATCAAAAATAATCCCAACTGTGCATTGCAACAATAACCCTTATCCCTCGGGTTTAGCTGGGGTTGTGTGACAATGGACTGCTGATTGATTGCAGTACAAAAGAAGTTTGAAATGATCTTGGAATGAAAGAGAATGCAGTAAGTACTATTTCTCACTGGACACAGGTGTGTGACATTCACAGAGCTTCAGATTTATTGCCATATTTTTGATACATGCAGACTTCAGTTTCTCATTTCTAGTTGCAGCAAAGCAAAAATAAAAGAATCTTCAATTAGACAAGCTATTACAAAAATAATGAGTCATCTGCACTTGACTGCACTCTATAGGTATAAATTGGTGCAGATCCATTATAGTGAATAGAACTGCGTCAATTTATATCTGCAAAAGATATGACCCTGACTTTGGGAAGTACTAACTGAAGCTGCATCTGTGTGCTCTTCCATATTTGCTGAGTTGAAAATTAACTTTTGAACCTGTATCCACTTAAATGTCTCAAATCAATTGTAGGTATAGCACTCGCAACTTTTCCCCACAGATCACTTCATAATAACTAAAAATGAAAGCTCTGATCCTTAGCTTCACTTTTTCTTAACTTTCCCAGAATATAAGTTATTTTAGATGTTGCAGCAGAGTAAGATCAGATCAGTGTTCACTCTCTACAGGAAGTTCATTGCTGAGAGACAGTCCTAGTGTGTTTATATGCATAATTTGTTTTGTTTGGGCCATAGAACAGCTAAATTTTCTGAAGATAAGAACTATCTTGGAAATCTAAAAAATTGATGCCATTAGAGAGTTATACGTACCTCCAACAATATGTTTTTTTTCTTGAAATCAAGATGAAATAGCATTTCAGTTGTGAGGTATTCTATGAGACAACTCCTTGCAAATTGTTTTTTTAATGGTTGTCTTATTTTTTGAAAAAAACCAAACAAAACTAAACACCTCCAACAAAACCCAAACAAACAAAACCCAAAAAGATTCATAGGCAAGCCAATATACATACAAAAGAGATATTACAGTGGCAGAGCAGCTACTTTGCCTGTGCTTGAGAAGATGGACATCAGCCACTCCACACCAAACAGTTCATCCTGACCTCATGTGTGCACAGTCAAATTCTTCTTCTTCACAGAAGGCCACAGGGAGTGGTGGTGCATGTTTGACTCTACCTTGCAACTTCACTTTACACCTCTACCTCCAGAAAAAGCAGGAACTGTGTTCCCCACACCTTTGTGGGGAAATCAGCTGTCAGCTTTGGCCCTACCCTTTCCTCCCTCTATAGTGGGATTACACAAAGGCACATGATTCTAGCCTATTTGAGCAGCCTGAAAGGTACAATCTGATAAACAGAAGAGGAGCAGGAGACTGCACGAGGCCGACAAGTGCAAGACAAAGGATATGTAGGAGAACTTAAGAACCTGTGGGGGGTCTTCACAATTTCCAGTGATATGCACTGGTCTTTCCAAGGTCACACTTCTCACCTGACCAATCCAGCTACACTGACTCTACTGGTGCTTGTTCCCTGAACCTTTTTTTTCCACTAATCTCTAAGTCTTTTCTTTCTCTTTATCCTTGCTTCTCCCTCCAAAAATCTGCTGTGCCAGAAAAGTCACTATTGTAGATGCAATCTAAACCCCTTCCATTTCCTCTGCAAAAACATAGTGAAATATATTCCTTTATTTGTATAGGTATATTGTGTATTCATATTATGACTAAAAACTGTCAGGGAACATGTAGGCCCTTATGTTTCTAGACTTATTACCAGACCTTTAGTAATTCAAGTGTTTTTCAGTAAAATAAGTTGCCAAAAGCTTTACTGTTTTATATTCAATCATTTTAATAATAGACAGCATTGATGCTTTGTATGTGGCAAACAAACAGTAACAGCTATAACAAAAACTTACCTCAGCCTGATAGGACATGTGGATCACAGTGCAGGCAAAAAAATAGAGTACAACATACATTCATGCTTTATTAGACATACCATTCTAAGCAAAGAACACAGGAATGTTATCCTACACACCCATTATCTTACAGATCATGTGAACTGCAAAAGCCTTACTGAATCTGTAAGCCATCACTCAGTCCTCAAAAGTACAAGTAAGTGAAAAGAAAAAACCCCAACATATATCCTTGGTAAGAATGCTCAGGCTCTTTCCAACTGTTTGTTGATTCCTCTTGCACAACTGTGGATCATAAAAATGACATGCCTCAAATTCATCACCCTTGACAATACGAGCAAGTCCCAGACATCTCTAGTGGACAGTGTCCAGATGCAGAAAATGGTAAATCCTATCCCTCCTCAGTAAAGGTCCAGAGTCTCATCTGCATTATAATACATAATGCAAAAATACCTTGAAGCAGACACAAAACTAATTCACCATTACCTGGATTATCCTCAAACCAAAACTGAATTTAATATGGCCATAGTGAAAATAAATATATTATTATAAATATACTATGCCACATTTAAAAATGCAAATATGGTTCTTTTTTAATGAGCAAAAGCAGCTTTAAATCATTTGCCAAATAGATCCTCACAAAAATATTACTGTTTGACTGAAAGAATTCTGCATCACTGCTTTTGCTCTTTCTGTATTTGTCAGACCTTCAGGAAGCACACATTTTTCAAAGACTTCTGCTTGATATAGATGAAAGCCCATTCTTTAGGATCAGATATGTCAGAAAGTGGCTGGAAATGGAAAAGCACTCCATATAAAGCCCAAGAGCCAGAACTGCAAAAGTTAATTCTTACCAAAAAAAATGGGAACCTGGTTGCGCTCCTTCTTTGGGAAACTACTGTTGAGATTGTTGGACTTCTCCTCATTTGGAGCAGCTGGCAACGTATTTACTAATAGAAAAAAAAGGGGGAGGGTGTGTGAAACACTAAGTGATGGCTTATCTAGTCATAACCAGACTCTGAAAATCAACTGTGATTGGTACACATTGGCCTTGCTCAATGGCAGCACTAATGTCAGTAAAAGGCAACATTTCTTTAAGTCCCAAAGGCATAGGAAAGTTGCTGAGGCAACTTTGGGATGGGTTTCTTTTTCTTCTATAATTTTACCAGTTTAACATGGTTTGGTAAGGTCATTTACCATGACTAGCACATTTACAATGACTAGCAGACATTCTAACCTTTGCAATTTTAAGCCTTTTTCAAAGTATGTATTACTGACAAGAAAATGGTTATGAAGCTACTTTTAATGCTACTGACTTCACTGTGCTTATGTATTTCAACTAACATACATGAATTCAAATAATTGGACAATGAGTGGACAAACCAAGAAGTGTCTGCCTTAAAGGGTTAACTATAAACAGCAAAAGCAAATTCTTACCAAAAAACCCAGGGATCTGGTTGAGTGGTTCTGCTGTGGAACTACTGTTCCCAGTGTTAGGATGCTCTTCAGCTGTATCAATTGGCAATAAATTTGCTAAATGAAAAAAGAAAAGAAAACAATCAAGAAGAAAAAAAATGTTATCAATGTCACAAAGATAACAAAGTTGATCTATTTAAACCATGGAAATAGCCCCTAATACTTTCTTTCTTCTTGGGTATTCATGCAAATTTATATGGAGGTGTTACTTCAGATTAAAATCAGGAGCAAAATGTATTCTGCAGCTTTTAGTCCAGAAGGTAAAATTGGACGAGAGCCCAGGAAGAAATGCTTTGGCAAAGGTAGGGAAAAAGCACATGGCTCTATAATTTTTTTTAAACATCTTAAAAAAGAACCATAGTGGGTCTTTCCTATTCTAAGTGTGAATAAACTCAAGGTCCCCTTGACAAAATGACAGATTAGGAAACAGCCCTGGAAAAAGGCCCACCAGAGACAAGCAAGATGAGATGGGAAAATGTGTTATGAATAAGATGAAGTACTTTGCAAATGGGAGAGGAGTTCTGAAGCTTACTATATCCTGATATAGAACAGTTCATTGCAACTAGCAAGACAAGGAAGCAGATGAATGATCTATGGTCAGTGTGAATAGCTGTTTTGTAGCCTAAGCTGCACAGACAAATCATTCAGAAGGGAGTGACAGGTTTCCCCATGATTCTTTAGAGGGAAGTTGGCAATGCACAGTAAGGTGCCCTACGTGGTCAGCCCCTTTCACTACAAGACTTGGTTTGAAAAGAGTATATGCAGATGTATGAGTTAGAAAATATATATTAGTGCTTTATGCTATGGTAAAGCCAAACAGCTGGCAGATTTTAGGTTAGCTGTCATGAGAAAAGAAAAAAGGTAGGAGTCTTGTGATATCCATCAAATAGTACCTACCAAATTTTTTAGTTCGTATTTTTAATTTTGGTATTTTTATTTAAAAATATGTATAATTATTGTCAATTTCATATATAAATTACTGCCACTTCAGGACACCCTAAACTGCCCTTTTTTCCATACAAGATACCTTCAAAACACAACATTGTTGATACAAGAGTAAAACTAAGAATAATGAAGACAACAACTCACAGTTGCCTTGGCAGGTACTCTGGCATTCTTCCAAACTCCTGAAGTTGTTCTGGTTTCCTAGGCACCCACCATACTTGAATGCTTCACATAACTCTGTCTCTTTGTTATAGAAATACCTGGAAAAATAGCCTCGGCATATTCCAGGGTCTTTTTCTTGGAAGCAGAAGTCAGGCTTTTCTGTGAACAATGGTAAATGATGAACAGGATGGGGGAAGAAAAGATTTAACACACATTCCAGGACAACAATAGAACTGGAGGAAGTTTATAAAATAAACCTGTAATTTTGGACTCAAGACCAACTATAAACTAACTGCTGCTCTACTGTGCTGCTTTCATTCCATATGTAACACTGCAATATTATGCTGGAGCATTATAGGGATATTTGTATTCCTTTTTTTCTCTTTTCAAGTAGTCAGCAAATGATATCTTGAAAAATGACAACTAATCATTCCTTTAAAGTTTTCTTCAGCATTGAAGCCCAAAGTTGAAAAGGAGCTTTTACTCTGATTTAAAAGAAGAGTGGGTTCTCAGCTGGGTCATTTGCATCTAAGTACACATTTTTGTAATTCATGTAGTGGTTTTAGTCAATGTTAATGTGAATCATGCAGAAAGCCATGTTAAAATATAGGGAAAAAGGGGTGTTAAAAAAAACCAAGAAAAAATTCTAGCAACGCATTTTGTCTGAGGCTGTTTACTGTTGCAAAAGGACACAGGAAACTGGGAGGCAGAGCAGCTATTCTGTAATTTTTCAGTCCCAGTTCTGAGTTTGCAATCAGTAACTACAATATCAACCAAGAACGAGTTAAATGAATATTGTGTAATTTGACTGATATCACATCTTCTGGCAGGGAAGAAAAGCACAGAGCCATACAACAATCCCCAGAAGTCAGCTTCTCATCACATTCGCAATCTTTCTTAAAATTATATTTTTAAAATAAAATCATGGAAACAGTAAGCATTCTCAAATTCTTGTTAGTAGATACTTTGAAATATGGTTCTTGTCTGATACAACTGTTTAGCCATCATATAAGACAATTATATCCAACTTAACATATATGAAATATGGTTCTTGTCTGATACAACTATTTAGCCATCATATAAGACAATCATATCCAACTTAACATATGGAGGCCTTCCTTACCTGTGAAACTTAACAAAATATTGAGATTAAACCAGTGTGCAATGTGCTTCCATTTTAATAAAAATTACTCTGGAACAATTACTTTGACATTCCTAACATTTTTGGAGTAGATTATTGAGTTGCAAAGAAGTTAATACTGTTCTATCTATTTTAGCTAAGTAGATATTAAAATTAATTTCTAGAACAAGATTATTATTGAAAACAATTGATGCACATAATGTATTTATATGAAATAATAGCTCATAATTAGCATTTTTCCAAGAATTAATTTGCAACATCTTGTATTTCAATTGTTACCAAACTTCATGAACAGCAACAAGAACTTTCAGAGATCACATGCAAAATTAAAATATTAAAATATTCTTGCATAAAGTAAGAAAATTAACTATTTTAGGCAGTCCTGAATAGCTTAATCTTGATAGTTCACTACAAATTTCATTCTCTGCCAATAAGTATATGCAATCTACAGTTCAGATATTTCATGTTTCTTCCTATTGAAATGCAGCACTTATTGATGTTGACAGATTTGGAACACTAAGTTCACATAGACCAACAAACACGAAAGGTATGTGCCAGGCATATGATATGCTTTCAGGTGAGAACAGTGGTGAGACAGTTCCACAGACAGGTAGCAGGCAAGACCCTACCACAGCAGTATCTATTCCATACACCATCTATTAGGGGCCCACAGGCAACAGGAGCTACAGAAACAATTCTTTCATCAAACATTGCACAACATTGTGAAACAACAGAAAGATATTATTAGATAGATATTAAGTGGAAAAGGAAGGCAGATAATAAGGATATGAAAAGTTGACTACAAGATTATGACAGATTCTTAAAAACAGATGTTCCTTGTTTCGAAAAAGGAAATTGAGCCCAAATTAGTTAAGCTCACAGCTAACTTCTATAGCTACTTTTGAAGAGAGTTCATGCAGGCAATATAATCCTAACTATACAAACCAGTATTATACTTCTAAATACCACATCTTTCTCCAGGGACTCAATATTCACAAGTACATTACTGGAAACAATGGTAAACATGCAATGATGTTGATGATAGCCATGAGCTGAATTTAACAGGATATGTTCCGGTTTGTCATTAAAAGCAGGGAACTAGGGTCAGCCCTTAAAGGAAGTAGTGCCAAAGTCTGCAGTGTCTGTGGAAAATCAACTTTACTAACTTCCATAGCATAGAATCACACTTTTTAAAAACACATTAAGAATGGAAAAGACAGTAGAAAACAGGAAAGGAAAGCCATCATCTTAGTATGAAACTATTCCAAATAACATTCTGCACAGATAAGTAATTTTCTTATAGTCTATTTCAAAATGTGTGTGCAAACACTGGCATTTCTGCAGTTGCTAAATGTGCACTCATTCAAGAAGCTGCAAGTGGAAGGAGAGATGAAGGATGGTAAGTGGAGAAAGAGGAGCTGACTTGTGAAGAAATTTGCCCAAGTCTGTGTTTAGAGAACTCTGTCTACCAGCAATGGGCTCAATCCAGTTAAGTCTCTAATGTGCAAAGGGGAAGGGCAGAATAAGCTCTACTTCACAAGCTCTACTGTAAGTGTCAGACTTAAATACCCTTGTTAGGAATATTGGTTACCTCAACAGACCAACAGTGTTTCAGATAAGTGACTCGCAGTGTTTTAGCACTGGTTATTTGGACATCTGGGCATTTAAAGTTCTGTAACCACTCTGTCCCTTCAGGAGTGGGAAACTTTCCCCCTTGCTCAATGTATAATTAGGGAATCTGTCTTAACCTCTGATAGCTCCTCCACAGAAAATGGTTGAAAAGTTCTGTTTCAGAGTGATTTTTTACTATTTTTGCTAGAGGAGCAAGCATCTAGATTGTTCTCGAATCACACAGAGAGTTCTACAGCATGGCTAATTATACTGTACTCGAATCTCTGCTAAGTCCTTCTTTTTACTGAAGAGAGAGAAAAGAAAAACATGATGTGTTTATTTTGTGGAGAAGAGATTGCAACTACCATCTTCAGTGACCACAACTGTCCTCAAATTCTGTGATGAATACAGAAGAAGATTCAGAGTAAGAACTCCCTTTAATCTGACACTGTTGTGTTTGTTAGGAGGTAACTTGGAATAATACATAAATAATTTAACAGAAGCTAATACATGCCTTATTGTTGTATAAGAGTCATAGACAACTATGTAAACATAATTACCTTTCTGAATTTTTGCTAACACCATCTTCTGAGGCAATTCTGCAATATAAATGCAAATAAAAGTATTTAACAATAGCAGACATGTTCAGTCTCACCTGTGATACCAGTGTGCTTAGCAGTGACAATGAGCACTGAGAAAGAGCATCTCTTCCCTTTCTTTTGTGTCTTTATTAGAGAAGTAGCACAATAGCTTGTTCTGGAGGACTGAAGTATCACTTCCTTTGTATGAGAAGACCTTTTATATTGGATATCAGAGGACATGGAAAGTACTGAAATCAAACTATACCAATATTGAATTGATCAGGGAAATTACTCTTCATGTTACTGGACCCATAATCCTGTAATATGCACATAATCCTCAAAAAAGGAGTAATTAGCAGACTAACAACCCAAGTGCTGTAGCTATTGATACCGCTAATAATTTTGGAGCTGATCTAGTGAGAAAAAGACTTTCCCCATGCTAGCCCATTCCCTTTGCTATGCTATGTAGTGTCTGAAAAAAGGTTTCATTATGCTGTTTATGATATTAAGGCCTATTTGGACAAGTATCTCCAACTATCTCTTAAGGTTGTATAGATGAAAAGCTTGTTTGCACTGTTCTCTTAGTGCATGATCAGCAGTGAAGTTGTTATTGCCCTTTTTTAATGGAGGAGCCTGGGTTTTACTGTTCTAGCTCAAGAAACTGAACATCTGAATTCAACCCCACATTCCTTTTCAGCAATCTAAAACAAACTTTCTTGCCCTTCTGTCTAATTATAAAACTACAAAGGAGTCCAAGGGGAGATTGGTTCAGCCAATATGTAAGAAAGGCTGACAGCTTTTTGGCAGCTAAGAAAAGTGGCCGAGGAGAGCTGATCCATTCTGGCTTGCAGAAATACTTTGCAAGGCATATGAAATAGCAGTTTCTGTATTTCACCTAAGTCATCTTAATTGCATTGCTTCACAATTCTTTTGTACTGTGCTGCCCTTGTGTGCCATCATTCTAGCACAGTTTTCTCTGGAAACATGCTTGGGTTATATTTCTAAAGCAAATCTATCAGGCAGAAATTCTGTTGTGATACATTTTTCCTTCCACCTCTGGGCCCAGGCAGGTTGGCATCATTAAAAAAATATTATTTGAAGACAAGACGTGCACTTCAGAGTGACATATGATTTCTTTGAACATAGTTCCGGTTTTTCCTATTAGTAGGAGGCTTTGCCTTCAGCATTTAACCCCATGACCTAAACTGTGGACACTCCATCAGGCCATCTCACTAATTTCACTCAGCTGTCCCCTTCAGGCAAAATGAGCAATCGTATTTTGGCAAATGATCTCTACTCTTCTGGCACAGAATAGGAAAAATTGTTGTGAGTTTATACAGGCCTAGAAGCTTTTAATCTTTGTGCCATGTCAACAGTGGTTTTGCTTCTGGTTTCAGTCAAAAAGCCAAATCCACATCTGAATTAATTCCTCCTTTGTAAACAAATTTCATTTCTGAGTAAAGCTGCTCTATAAATAATAGACATTAGAATTGTTGTCATGAACAGAACCATTTATCAGTAGGTATTTTCCCGTGTTAGAAACTTAAGTAGCCTAAAATACATATTCACTGCCTTGAAAATTAGGACCTTTGTGCTGGTGATTTTTTGCAGTTCTATACATACACAGTAGACAATGGAACATATAGACAAACTCCTCTTACAAGCAGGTTTTTTTATTCCCTGAAATGATGAGTATTGGGCACAAGAAACAAAAGATACAGCTGATTTCAAGGAACATTGAGTCAAAACTAGTTGTTCTGAATCTGAATGCTGTCTTTGATGGTCTTCGAATAGCCAACCTGCAGTTGGGCTCTCTGAGCTCTCTTGTACTGACTTCAAGCAATTCTGTCTTTGGGGGCTTATTCATTCCAAAATGTTGAAAAGTTATCCTGATCTGGTAATTCACTCATGTTGTCTCATTTGTTCTTGTATTTGTGCTTAACATTGAAAATCAAACACTTTGACTATTAACATTATTTCTTCTGAATCTGTTACATAGTTTCCCTTTAGCTTATTTTTATCAATCTTGATCTTCACATTCTTCACAGTGATAATTGAGCATCTTAGATTTTTCTTTATTTTTAGGCACTTTCATATCACTCATACTGTCTTTTCAGATTGATTTCTACAGTTACTAGTGATCTTCCTACAGTAATAAATACTGGAAACATGAGATGAATATAACTGTATATTACAAGACTGCACAGACAGAGCTAAATTTAACAAAAAGAATTTACATAATTATATGGGGGTTTACTGAATTATGTTAGCACAAGTGGCTAACTTAACAGTTTACTTTGCTTTATGCCCAATGCTCGACAACATACAGTATGTGACACCAAACCATTTTATCTGCTGTTATTCATTCAGAGAATACAGAAATAATGAGCCTTTATTGCTCCAATTTCTCATAGCAGATGTAATTTCTGTAGAGTCTTGAATCATTATTATTCATACACAGAAAATTGCACTTGTGCTGAGTACCAAGATCTAGACACTAAGTCAGTTCTCATTTAAAATAACTTTCAGTTTTATACCATAGAGTTATGTTAATTATATGCCAGTACAGGATTTGGTCCAGAAGATTTGATCCAGAGTTTTGTTCAGAATCAAATAACACTATTAGTCAAAATAGCAACATTAGATTGAAGAAATTTTTTAATAAATCTTCATTCATGGCACCTGGTTGTGACTTTTGGACACTTCATTCTAAATTCTGCATCTATCAACCCTGTCTTGTTCCCTTTATCCCTCTGTCTTAGCCTTTAGATTGAAGTTTAGGGCAAACACTCCAAATTACCAGGAAGTCAAGTATTTTGGATGAGATACTGGCAGTTGCAGTCCTGCAAATAACTCTGCTCTAAGCATGGCAAAGATGCTGTGGATCCGGCTGAACCCCAAACCCAGATATCAGATGAAAAGTACCAAAAACCAGCTGGCATAAGAAAAAGAAGAGCAATTTCACATCCTAGATCCCAGGTCTTTGGCACACCGAATACTAATTAAGGAAAAATAACTTTCAATATTTTTATCTTGAAAGATTGTATTAAATTTTGTGGAGTAATAACTAGAAACATATTAATCACTATTTTCTAAACAAAACACTGTAGAAGTGAAAAGAATGCCTTTTAAGCAAAGATGGTTTTTCACATTGATGATGCCAACATTAATTTTTTAAAAAGACTTATATGTACATATTAACTGTGGAGTTCAGCAGCCAGTTTCATTAATTCCTGTGCTGAAAATTTAATGAATATGGAAAAAACCTTTTCAGCTTGTTGTTCAAAGGGGAAGAAAAAAATAAATCTGTGAAATAAAGGATTTGTGCAGAGCACGGGGTTGATAATGTAGAGATGTTTTTGTTATTGCTGAGCAGAGTTTACAACACAGCCAAGGCCTTTTCTGCTTTCCGTACTGCCACACTGGCAAGGAAGTTGAGGGTTCATGGGAGTCTGGGAGGAGACACAGCTGGGACAGGTGACCCAAACTAACCACAGGGATATTCCATACCATATGACATCACGCTTAGTATATAAAATGGCAGGAAGAAGGAGGAAGGGGGGGACATCTGGAGTGATGGCATTTGTCTCCCAAGGAACCGTTACGTGTGATGGGCCCTGCTCTCCTGGAGATGGTTAAACACCTCCTGTCTTCGGGAAGCAGTGAATTAATTCCTTGTTTTGCTTTGCTTGTGTGTGCAGCTTTTGCTTTCTCTATTAAACTGTCTTTATCTAAATAAAAAAATTAAAAATTTATGACTCATGGAGGCCATAAAAAAGGAAGCATTTGCCAATCTAGAAAGGCCATTTATCAGATAAACAGAAAATTATTATGCAAAATATTAATGCTACAGCTGGAAGGGATGGGAAATTGTCAACAGAGACATTTACATTTATTACAGACAAAGCCTGGTGCTATAAATTACCTTGCCATATATACAGTCTGTTTTGGTCAGAAAATCCAAAGAGGATCTTCTGAAATCAATTTTCTTACCTGGAATTTCTTGGACCTATTTTTTCAAACCTTTATGAACTTGCTTCACTTGCAAGTGACCTACACAAATACTAGAAGATACAAATTTATATCCTGCAAATGAATTCAGTGCCTATAGCATCTCAGCAGATTTCCAGTTTTAGGAAAATGCCCAGGGCTAGAATAAATTATGAAAATAGGGAAAACAAAACAATGCCTACTGAGATTTACAGAGCAGCACATCACTCATAAGACAGCAGAGACTGACAATTTTCACTGACTGTCTTGCCCATCCTCAGAATAACTTGTTAACAGTTCTTTGCTGCAGCATTGTCCAGCATCACTGTCTTGAGCTCAGTGACAATGACAAATATTGCTGCTGGGCAAGGCATATGTGACCGGAAAGTACTTTCTATAGAGAATGAATCCTTATGTCTTACCTCAAAGTCTGAATAAATCAACATCCAGGATATGAAGTTTATTGTGAAAAAACCCTACATGGTTGATATACTATCTAGGGGCTATTACACACCTTTGAGGATCCCTTTATTCTGGATTTTTTTTCCAATTTCCATTGTCCCCTTCCTCTCCCCCTTCAATACTTCCCTATCTCTTCCTGTTTACACAGCCAGACACATTCCATCAAATTCCCATGAAAGCAAGATCCGTATTAGGTATCCAGAGGAAACCTTCAATAAGACTTGAATTCCTCCAGTCTCTTAAAACACAAGCTTGTCAAATTTATAGCTCCACTGGCAGTTTTAAGAATCTTCCAAGTTTCATACAGTCCTGTGAGGAATTTGCACAGTGCTGAAAGCCTTAGTTAATTACAAGGATAATTTTTTACAGCAAAACCAGCATTCACAATTCCCTTTGTGCATACTGTGCTGTGTATCATATGCTGGATCTCGTTTCCTCTTTCTAATGATTAAGTGATGAGGTTTCAATAAAACAGAGCTGAAAAATGGCTATAACTGACATTTTTAATGGGAATTAACCACTACTGTAGTTCTGATTATATTGAAACATAGAAGATGTCAAGGTTTTTAGACAGCTTCTATCAACTTTTCAAGTGAAGGAGAAACTTGGGATCAAAGATTGGGTTAGATACTCTGAAAGCAACAAGAACATCTGTGATGTCCACCAGCTTAGCCCAGCCTCAAAATCAATTTCACCCAAGGTCTCATCCAAAACAAGGCTCTAGCTAGAAAATAAGCTTTGTTGCACTGGTGTCTCTATTGCACAGGTTACGCTAAAAAAGTCAGACTTATCTTTCCAAATCCTGAATGTTTGCTTGCACAATGTAAAATAATTCAGGTGACTACAATGTATGCTTGGGAACATAGTAAGAGCCATCACATTTCTGTATTAAGAGCAACTGGAGAGGGTCTGTACTTCCAAAATCCATCTGGTTTGTGAAGGAGAAATAACAGCTGCAAAGGAAGAACTGCTAGGAGGATAAGAGAATGGGTACTGGCCTGTTGCCACACACTTCTTCTGACATTCTTCCAGCGTTAGAAAGTTGTTCTCATTGCCATGGCATCCACCGTATTCAAACATCTCACACTGGTGGCTTTGAATATTGAAGTAATAGCGCATGTGGACGGCTTTGCATGGACCATCATCTGCTTTCATGGCACACACTGAGTGCCCAAGTTTCAGTGGTGGCAAAGCAGCACCTGCAATTTCTAAGAAGTAAAATAACTGTTAGTTAGTTTGCTTCACTGCAGAGCCTAACTTAAAGTGAGATGGCTGACACTCTCAGCCAGAAAGGCACTGCAGAACATCTGTCTGCAAAGCGCTGAAGACACCAAACAGATGTAAAAACAAAAACATAATCTGCATTGGAACACAAATTCCACTCAATGAGACCAAATGTGTGGTTTCGATTTCCAGCCAAAACAGCCCATATTGTGAACTTTAACTCCTCATAATAAATCTCTAAATTGCTATGGACAGTGGCTTAGTCACATAAGTTGGCGAGCAATTCTGAACAACGAACACATCGAGAAAATCCTTGTAGCTCCCGAAGACACACTGACTACCACGGCAGAAAGGATTCCTTGTGCTGCCCTCCATGCACTTCTGACAGTGACCATCTCCCAGCGAACAGCACGGGATGGAGGGAGCTCTGCAGAGGGCAGCATTCCCCAGCGGATTGCCTTGCCTGGCACACGAACCCAGCCTGCCCCTCTGGAGGTCATCGTACTGCGCTTTATCTTTGATCTCTCTGTTCTTACATTAGAGCTTTTCAGAGCTAAGTATACAACTAGAAAGTTACCGTGAAACAAACCCCTATGCTTTCAAATCCTGTCATCTCTCTGTCTTTCACTATTATTAGGTCAGGGAATGCTCTCTAGAAATTGTCCTATGTATTATGAAGAAAACTAGCAAAGCTTTACACTGTCAATGTCTATAAGGAATTCTGACTAACAATCCAGTTTGTGATACTGTTCTCTATTACATGGTCCAGTTTTTTTTCCTGTTTTGCTTTTCCAATGAATTATTTTACCCTAGATGATCTTGAAATCTCTACAGAGCTCATATGCTTCCCGTAACAGCCAGAAGAAGACATCTGATTTTTTTCATTCATTCTCTCACAGCTAATTAGAACTTTGAAGTATCTTAATATATACGCAAACATGTCTATCAGAGCTCTTTGCAGTGGTCCAAGAAACAGAACACAAAAAAATAAAGGATGAGGACAAGAGTTTACATGGTCATTGCACAGCTTCCTACAACTACAAGACTAAGTTTTCAGTTTTAATTAAAAGAATCCTCAGAAATCAGGCTTTAGGACATGGTAAAAAGGAAACTGGTATACTTACTACCTATCTGCTCTCTGGCTATCTAATTTTAGCATATAAAATTGACTTTATCTTTAAATGAAATGCACTGCTGAGATAAATCTTCATAAGTACTGAGGTCCATGGAATTTTACTAATTTTATTCCATTTGAGCCACTTATAACTATTAAGCCTGCAGGAAAGAAACTCATTTCAGCACTAAAATCTTTTAACCCATAGCATTTAAATCCTTGAAAAATTACCAACCTTTACTATACAATTACCATCTACAGAATAATCGTAGTACACTATTAGATCTTCCAAAAATGGACAATTTGGTGTTAAAATACACATTAAGGTGACTAATTTCAAAGTTCTAATTTAATATTCAGTCCCTAAATAGTTTGTTCCCCCACTGGTGAAAACATATTTACAGATTTTGAGGCCATGAACATAGATTTGAAAACATTATTCAAGACTGTGCAATAGGAAATGTTGATGCATTAAAATGAATATTTTTAAGAGACATTAGATTCAGCAAACTTCCTATAAAACTCAGCTTGCCAAACAAGATTTCTAAATTTTGTTTCTTACGAGTTTCCTCATCTGGGTCTTCTACAAAGAATTAGTCACAATAAATTCCAAGTTGGACTTCAAAGGTTCTAAAGTTTTCCAGCAGGTTTGGGAACCCTTTGGAAGGGACTTTAAAAGGTTTAGCTTGAGAGGATACTGCATTGCAAAATGGAACTTTGGAATTCACCCACTCAGTACCAGAGAAAAATGCCTTGAAAACATCAAAGTTTTGAGGAACTTATGAACTTACTCCTGAAACACTAAAATCAAATGTCCAGAGCTCCACAGAAATTGCTCTAACTTAAATGTGGCTGGCAGCTGGTTTATAAACATGTAATTTTCTTGGCACACAGGAAATGAGATCTCATACATGACCTGTGTCAGTGACCCAGTTCAGTCTAGAAGAGGTTGTGAAAACTTGCTAGGTTTCTTAACTACTGGAATTAGAGTTATGTCAGCTCATTTTGCTTTGCCACATTACACCACACCAATGTTGTGGGCTATCAAAACAAAAAGCGTACTAAACTAGCTATACAAAAATGACGAACAAATGGCTTAGTAGAGTTTATCTTGGGAACTTTCTGGTCCCACCTCCTAGCCTGTTTCCCATCAAACCCACAGAACTAAATCATTGTTTTGCTTACCTCCTAAGGCCTTGCCTCTACAGTCATGGGGACATGGTTAACCACTGTCAGATGTACTGACATCTGCTGCAAACATCATGACTTAGCTATGTCACACTTTCTGGCAATCAGACATATATTTTATTATGAATGCTAGAAAACTGACATACTTTGACTAAAATCTGTAGCCTGTGAAACCCCCAGGGGCCAAACTCTCCAATTTTCAGCAATCAAGTGACTCTGAAGAAAGAAGCCTCAAAGGAATTCATCGGAACTGAATCACTCTTGTGTCTGGGAACAGTAGAAGAATTCTTTCCCATTATTTTACACCTGGGAACACTTAACTAACACAGATGATATAAAATAATCTTTCCTTCTCAGATTAGAGCAGCAGATGAAAAGGCAAGCAGTGTTTGGTCAGTAGATCTTTGCAAACACAAATCTGTCTGTACTCGTTTCATAAGTGGAATAAGAAAACTAATTCTTAATATAAGGCCTCCTCCTCTGGTCTTGAACACTGAAACAAATTGTTCTTACTACATTCTAGGTCCTGTGTGAAGAGCACAGGATATGACACTTAAGGAAGATGTCTGTCAGGAAGGTCAGTGAATATTCTTCGACTGAAACATAGGAAGTTCAAACTTGAAGCAATTTTAACGGAGTTCTCAGCCACGTTTTGGCATATTTCTATGGGATAAACACCTTGAGATCTTTTCTGACAGAAGGCCAGATTGTTCCTAACAAAATCCAGTGAATTAAACTTCCCAGCCACCTGAGGTAGTCAGTTCCACGATTTCACTACCCCTCTTGCAAGACAAGCCTTTTTTTTAATATACCACCTAAATATTGTTCATTATATATTAAATAACCTTTTACTGACTTCACACATAGACAGAATGATTTAAAGAGTAAATTTGTTTTGATTTTCTAGTCCACTTTTTGTGCCTTGCAATTCAAGGCTGCTGCAGGAGTGAGTGTCTTCCTGCACTCTCAGCCTTTACTTGGGGCAGTCCAGGCCCAGCTCCTTGCCAGACTGCTCAAAGTCTTTGTGGTGCAGCAGCCCCATGGCACTCACTACACCACTTCAGTAGCCCACCTCTGTCTACTTTCTTTCCTTTGGAAGACTTTTATCTCCTCTTAATAATCTCTAAACTAAATGAACTTCTTTCTTCCAATGTTTTTATTGACCTTGCTTTCTAATCCTCTTACAATTCTTATTTGGATCTTTCCTATTGGTCTGGACTACTGTGAAAGTGTGCTGCCCCACAGCTGAACATAATCCTCTACCTGAGGTATTACTAGTGCCAAATAGAGAGTGCTTTTTTTCTTAATGCAATACAACATTATCTGCCTTTTTTTAAAAACAACATTGCATTACATTTGTAACTTCCCTTACTTTCCAGCAAATATAATCTTGTTACATAGGTGCTTCAACAGTTATTTCACACCTTATATTTATTGATTCTCTTTCTTAATTATAGCACTTTTCATTTGTCATTGTAAAAAAAATTAATTAAATCCTCCATATTGGATCTGGCCCTGTTGGATATTTATTACTCATCCAATTTAGGCATCTGGTCCAAATAAACTTAGAAAATCGATGTAATTATAGGATTGTACTACCCTAGATGAAGAAAATTTTGTTTTGTTAGAAAGACATTAAGTAATGGTTACAGCTATTGCTCACTGTCACATAGGAGTTATTACTTGCCACACTAAAACTAAAATAAACTAAAGTAAAGCAAAGAAAAACCTCCTCCCCTTCTTCTCTCCTCGATATTTAAGTTAATGACTTCATTACATCAGCTACATAACTTCCTGTAACAGAAGGTACTTAAACACCCTCTGCTCTGTTTTCAACAGTCTTTCCACTCCAGAGTTTGTGGTAAGTCCAAAGAAATGCTACTGAAATGGCTCACAGTAAGCATGAATTTAGTGCCGACATTTTTTGCCACTACCTTCTTCCTCTGTTCCTTCAGCCTTCCTACCTTTGGCAACTGTCAGAGACAGGATATGTGCCAAGTCTGTTCCTCCACAGCACAGCCGTTCCCACATCTGCTGTCATTCACATGGCAACTTTTGCAACTGGAGATACCACTGTTTAACACACCAACAGCCACTTTTCATTTCAGGGCACTAATTTCACTGTAAGAGCTCTAGTAATCTGCAGTTAGTCATGCTGAAGCTCTGAGCACATGGACCATAGGTCATCATTGTAAGGCACTGTTATCACTTTACTAGTAAACAGTGCAATATTAAAAAGCCATAATGTGAATGTCTCTAATCCTCTGACATTAACACAAGTGAAAACAGTGACTTTTTCACTGGCTCTAGGCGTAACAAAAGACTCTAATTTGACTTTCACACTTTTAAGGATAATCTCGGGGCTGCTTATTAGAAGACCCCTTTTTCATTAGAAAATGAATTGATTTCTGTACTTTGCCTGCAGCCAATATTAAAAAGCCATAATGTGAATGTCTCTAATCCTCTGACATTAACACAAGTGAAAACAGTGACTTTTTCACTGGCTCTAGGCGTAACAAAAGACTCTAATTTGACTTTCACACTTTTAAGGATAATCTCGGGGCTGCTTATTAGAAGACCCCTTTTTCATTAGAAAATGAATTGATTTCTGTACTTTGCCTGCAGCAAATATGA